CAGATCGGACTTGTACTCTACATTGGGATTGAACTGTGTACGACATTCGGAGATCTCTCTCGCATGTCTATGGATCTCTCCCCATGTGTGTGAGCGGAAGGGCAATCTTTCTGATGTCTTGCCCTTCCGAAATTTCCCTCTTTCATGTTTGTCTGTCCTCGTGTCCTTTGGTTATTAAGACTTCCGCTGTGCTGCTTCCCAGCCCATGATGATGATGATGCAAATGTGTTGTTGTTGATTTCTCGTTGGTTTACTCTTTGAATTGTGCACATCGGCATCTTGTGAATGTTGCATCTATGCTGCTGGTTGTTGCCACTTTCATCATTGCTAGATCCTAGGCTCTCGGTGCATTTCACTTCCTGATATGCTACATCAGATGATGCTCACCAGAATGGATACGGAGCTGGGCCCATAAGGTCACAAAACAAGAAGAAGAAGAAGAAGAAGAAGAAGAAGAAGAAGATCAGGTGCCCTAAATGGACAAGAAGAGAGTCGGTGGGTGGCTTTTGTTGAACTGACCTCAGTGACAAGCTCTGTCCTTCTAAGAACCGAGTTCGCATTTGCCAAAGCAACTGGCCGGGTGGAACCTGCCAACTGAAACCAGAATGGTCAGAAAAGGAACAAACAAACAAACAGGGCAAAAAAAAAAAAGAAGAAAAAAAAAGGAGCAAACAGGAAGATAAACCTTGAAATGAAATAAAACAGACCCCAATCCGTTTGAAAAAAACGGGAAAAAAAAACGAAGATAGAGCATGCAGTTTCAATACAAAATTACAAATTCAATAACGAGGCTGCAAATCCGTTTCTTGCAAAGTAATTGAGTGAAGTGCTGCAAAAAAAAAATGGAATTTGGAAATTCGGAATGATAATCAATTTCAGAAGCAGGTACAGACGCACATCCAAACGGAGTTAAATTCAATTAATCTTTTGAGTATTTCCTGCGCCCTACTCCGCCGCCCCCCTCCCCAAAAAAAAAAAAAAGCCAGTAGGAGTGATAATACTGTGATATGTCATTTGGTCCAAAACACTCCTTGCAATTGCCTAATTGCCATATGGGTTCGGTACAAGCACTTGACCTGGATTTCAGCCAGATACAATAATCATCCTCAACCCTCAAGCACATAATCTGGATTTTTCTTAAAAAAGCAAAACAACAAAAAAAAACAATCTGGATTTCTTCTCCACAGTGATTAGTTGATAACCCATCACC